AGCCTTTTTACCTTCATAGGCATTTTCTATTGCAGCGTGCCGAATGAGAAAATCTTAGAAAGTGTATTTAATGACGAGTGTAATAATTTTTCGTCACAAATGTTGATATCAGAACTTTTGTATGTTGAAGGTGCGATCGTCACTAGTATTTTACCTCGTTAAGAGGTGTTTTTATTTGATATCAGAAGTTTTTGTTTGTTTATATTTGCTCTCATAGGAGCTAGTATATACATTTAAATTTAAATTGGTCAATCATAATTTGTAAGCCATTGTATTTAAACAAATTAAGTTAAAAAGGCGTTTAAGTATTTCAAAATACCTTTTAAACGAGGTATAGCACATGTCTGTAGCTTCAGTAGTGTAGAACTTACAAACTAACGAAATTTAGCTATATCTAGCTTTTTTTCCGCTAAAGCAGCGGGTTTTTCCAAAAGTCGTAAAACAAAAGTTTCCTATTTGGAACTCCTTAAAACAATTGAAATGATTCTAAGGGCCGGTTTCTCGAGTCCCTGTCAAAGTCCCTGATAGCTATCTGTTCGAAAAACTTAAATACCAGATAAACTGTTCGTAAAAGCAAATCCGCTTTCTCGACTGCTTTAATTTATCTGAACGAGAAACAATTACAGAGTGCTGTTAACGCACAGAATTGTGCTGTGAAGCGCAAAAAATGGCATGCTTCGATTATTTCATCAGCTGTTTGGGTATAATTTAAAGGAAAAGTCAGCTGTGATTTCGTTTCTTCTTCATAGTTGGCTTTGGGAAATCAGCTGTCATTCTATCGAGTCGAAAACGCTTAACAGGGACTCCGAGTCCCTGTCAAAGTTAGCTCTCACATTTATGCTCGAGAAAGCCAAAATGCCTTAGCAGGGACTTTATCTGTTCGAGAAATGTCAGCCGGCACTCGAGAAACCGGCCCTAAGAGCCTAAAATTCAGTTTGGATACCCACGCACAAAATTAAACACTCAGGAAGCGTTAGTTGTTCTGAGCTGGCAAAAGTGGCTATTTTCGTTTCTGAATAACTTTTAAACGCGATTTTTTACATAAACATGATATATACCAAAATTTAAGGAATCTCAAGGGCTATACAGTTTAAAGTTGTTAGGAAAATCGTTAGAGCCGTTTTAGAAAAAATTAAAAAAAGCTAAAAAAAGTTTAAACAAATTTTCTTTTGTTCATATATTTTTAACTATTACATTTACACAAATTGCATATAAAAGGCGTTTATAGCATTTAAAAATACCTTTCAAACGAGATGCAGCACAAGTCTGTAGCTTTAGTAGTATAGAAGTTACGGCTTTCCGAATTTTAGCTATTTATAGCTGTTTTCCCGCTAAAGTAGCTAGTTTTTCCAAAAGTGGTAGAACAAAAGTTTTTTATATCGATGTGATGAACGTCATATCAAATTTTCAAAACTTAAAAAACATGTTTTGGACAAACTAACAAACTGACAAACAGAATTAAATTTTCATTTTGGGAAGAAGAAGAAAACCTTATTTTGGCTATAACTTTTGAACGGATTTTGACAAATGACCCCTCATTCGACGGGTATTTTCAAAAGGAATACAACTAAAACATTTCGAGGGGGCATTTATCCCCACCGGCCCCAACAGATCCAAATTTCTAAACATTCACTTTTACACTTTCACCGCTCTCTCTCCCAAACCAAGTAATTTTCTCGAGGTCTTGGTATGCAATCCTTTAAGTTTTAGCAATACCTTTAATTTAGTGTATTACTCATTACGATCGGACTATCACACCAGATTTTCAGTTTTGCGGCTATATAATAGTAGTCGCCTTCGCACACTCACCTTGTGCGCTTCGTCACTACATGGACTGCCGTCCATAGTGATATCCGTACCATGGCTGGGACAACTGGTCTATCGAGACTGCTAACCGCCAAGTCTCGAGTGTCTCCCCTTAAAACAAAGTCAATTCCAAGGCTCGAGTTGTGTGCAGCGCATCTTCTCGCTAAGCTATGGGCTCAAGTAGCTCCCTTGCTTAACAACTTTAACTTGGAAAGCATAAATTTCTGGTCGGACTCTCAAGTCACATTATATTGGTTGAAAAGGGATCCATTCACATTAGCAACGTTTGTTGCATACAGAGTATCTGAGATCCAAGAGCTTTCAGAAAATGTAGTCTGGCGTCATGTGCCTACTGAAGAGAATCCGGCTGATTTGGTGTCACGTGGAAGAGATATAGATGGTTTGAAGTGTACTCTGTGGGAAAACGGACCAGAATTCTTGCTCAGAAGTCAAGACGAGTGGCCTCGTCTTCATCAGATTGAAGTTTCACCTGATTTACAGCTGTCCGAGAACAAGAAAAGCGTGGCAGAGTGTTCCGTAACAAAAAGCCAACCTAACGTGATTACTGATCTTATTGGAAGATGCTCGTCGTACAATAAACTACTTCGGATTATGGCATACGTAAATCGGTTCATTCAAGGGAAAAAGCGGCGTCGAGACGTAAATATTTCGGCACAAGAACTAAAAATATCGTTCGTTAGGCTGGTCCAAGTACTTCATAACCTTGAGTTTGGTTCAGAACACACTAAGTTAGAGAAATCAGAATGTTTGGCCCCACATCTTCAACGTCTAAATCCCTTCATACACACAATGGAGCTTGATGGTATGACCTTTCGATTAATTCGTGTTGGAGGCAGGTTGGGTAATGCGCCTTTTCGTTATGATGCTAAATTTCCATTATTGCTGTCTCAAAAGTCACAATTTGTTACCCTCTTTCTTCGCAATTTGCATCAGACTCATTATCATGCCGGTGCCAAAGTGATGGTATCACTCTTGAGGCAGCAGATTTGGCTTATCAACGCACGAGAGGCGTGTACGAGGATTGTCCGTAGCTGCGTCCACTGTTTCCGTTATAAGCCCAAGCTTCTTGGTCAGATAATGGGCAATTTGCCCGCCGATCGGGTTAGGAAAGCTCGACCCTTTTTGATTTTTGGGGTAGACTTCTGCGGTCCATTCTATGTCTCGTTGAAACTCCGTGGGAAACCCCCCAAAAAGACTTATGTGGCTGTCTTCGTTTGTTTTTCGTCAAAGGCTGTTCATCTTGAGCTCGTTGTTGATTTATCTACTGACAGCTTCTTATCTGTGTTCAAAAGGTTCGTCGGACGGAGAGGTCTTCCGGAGAAGGTATACAGCGACAACGCCACCAACTTCGTGGGAGCGAGCAAGGTTCTCGAAGAGCTGCACGTAGCGTTTCACCGGAACAAGGATCAACTGACGGCGTACGCGGCTCAGAGGGGCGTCGAGTGGTCGTTTATCCCACCGAGGTCACCACACTTCGGCGGGCTATGGGAGGCAGCCATCAAGGCAGCCAAGCATCGCTTGCTGCGAGGGGTCGGCAACGCCAAGCTCACAGCAGACGAGTTGAGCACCCACCTAGTGGAGGTAGAAGCGCTGCTCAATTCTCGTCCGATTGCGTCGCCTGGCAACGACCCCAACGATGGAGAAGCTCTCACACCAGGACATTTGCTCATCGGTCAGCCTCTTCTTACGCTGCCGCCAGAATCCGAAACAAACGAAATCTGCAGCAAGGCAAGCTTCGGATATTTGAAGCGGTGGCGAATGCTGTCTGCGCTCAAGCAGCAGTTTTGGCAAAGCTGGTCCAAGGATTACCTGGCCAGCCTGCAGCAGCGCAACAAATGGAGCATCGAGGGCCCCGATCTAAAGATTGGGTGCCTTGTTCTCGTCCACGAGGACAATCTGCCGCCGCAACGGTGGCTTACAGGGCGCGTGGTGGCAACATTATTCGGCGAGGACGGCAGAGTGCGTGTCGCCGAAATTCAGACGTCTGGAGGCGTCATCAAGCGCGCAATCCACAAACTGGCGTTGCTGCCAATAAGCAGCACAAACGAGGAAGTTAAAGCGCCGGAGGCCTTTAACGGGGTCGGAATGTTGGATTGTAATTATTAAAAATAGGAAAACATGAATTTAAAAATGAAAAGAATTATCTGAATTGTAAACAAAACATAATGTTAATATTCGCATTCACATACGAGCTTTGTTTGGGTTTGCACTCAAGCTCACCACATAGCTGAGTCGCTTACTCTTATACTGATAAGCTTGTAACTTCGGAACTCTTGTAATTGTTCGCACTGCTCGTGGGAGTCAGTCGTTCGTTATCGCTTGAAACCGCTGGCTGCGCCAGCGCAATAAATGGATTAAAATTGGACTGCTGCTCTGTTTTTCGTTCGAGTGGAAAATCCCCAGCTAGGTTGCTTAACGTAGTCGCATTTGTAACATATTCTTTTCCGTGAAAAATCTCACGGATTTTCAGTGTTCATTTTTTCAATAATAACTGATGGTTCACGGAATCGAAAGCTTTACTGAAGTCCGTAAAAATAACATCGGTTTGATTATCATTTTTAAAAGCGCTTCTGATGACTGAAGTAAACTCAAGAAGATTTGTAGTCGTTGATCTTCGTTTCATAAAGCCATGCTGAGTTGGGGACATTACTGAGCTGCATTGGTGCTGTAGCTGAGCGGTAATAAGCTGTTCGAAAAACTTGGGAATTGCGCTTAGTTTTGCAATACCACGGTAGTTTTTAATGTCCGACTTGCTTCCTTCCAAACTTCAGGTAAAAATGAATGAAGGAGGGATATTTGAAACAGTTTAGATAGCGGTTTGCACAAAGCATCGGCACATTTTTTTAAGATACAGCTCGATTCAAGATCAGGGCCAGAAGAGAAAGACGTCTTGATTGTGTGCAAATTTTGTAAAACATCGTCCTCACTAATTAGTGGAGTGAAAAAGCAGTTGGAATGAGGAAGAGAGTATGGGTAGGAAGAGGTGTTATCGTAACTAAAAGAAGAGTACGTGGACTGGAAGAATTGTGCGAATAAGTTCGCAATATCGGAGTCGCTAGAGGCGGATATTGTATCAAGATGAAGGCATGATGGAAAAAGTGGCGATTTTCGTTTCGAATTAACAAATGCGAAGAACTGCTTGGGATTGTCTTGGAATTCGATTCTGCAACGGTTTAGGTAACTGTTGTAACAATCGGAATTGTGGACTAAAAAATTGGAACGAGCAATTAGATACCTAGAATGGTCAACTTGCAGCCCAGTTCTTTTATATTTCTTAAAAAGTCTAGACATGGTGTTTTTAAGGAAAGAGAGTCGACGAGAGAACCACGGAGGCTTATGAGATGCGTTTCCAGTGGGAAATGAAGGAACGAACTTATCGAAGGCTAAATATAGTAAGCTATAAAACTGTTCTACAATATGTGAGGGATTATCATTTGAATCCATAAAAGACCAATCGAGTTGCGATAAATGCCTATTCATTTCAGCAAATTTAGCTCTTCGAAAACAGTGAAAAGTTGCTGGTTCGATTTCGGGACATGACAGTAAAGGAGCTGATGCTTCTAAAGTAACCTCAAGTGTGGGATGATACGCATCTTCATCTAGGTGTATCCACACCTGCCGATACATTTTCTCTATGTCCGCTGTAAACACGTATTTATGAGTGCGGAAGCGTAATAGAATTGCAAATAGCTCGCTTTGCACCGTGGGTCCAGCATAGAGTATGTCGTTCAAAGACTTGTTGCTGGTGGTTTTGCATGAAGCGTCGAATACTACCCTCAACTTTGTTGTACTGCTCTCCGGCTTCAGCACACAGTGATGTGGAATGAAGTAGTGATTAGCGGGTATATCTGTTTGATGCACTTGTTTCATGTGTCCGAGTGCTTCGTATTCATTCATAAAGTCCACGTAGCCTTTCCAGACTTCAGGTGACGTTCTTCTTTCTAGAGCCAGAAATCTATTCGTGGCTGTTTTCTGTGATGCCCCCAGGGCTGAAGACTGTTCAGAAAATGGGAGTTTCACAACAAATTTGCCATCCTTTGCAACTCCCAAGTTTCCTACGAAGTGCATTTCGCAATGAGCCTCTATTGGTGATCGATGCCTTTCCTCGGTTTCAAGATTTTCTAGAGTCCAGAATCGTTCCAATAGTCTGTCAACTTCTTCGTCTGTAGCTGCGGCGGCACAAACCGCCGCTGAATCGTGATCCGAGGAGATCCGTCCGGCAATGATCCATCCAAGTTTTGTATTCTGAAGAACTGGTCCTCCTGTCTTTAGTATAGACTGGTTTGGCAGCAGCAATGAATAGTAGTGCTCTGCTCCGATAAGCATGTCAATCTTTCCTGGCTTATCGAAATTTGGATCGGCTAGAGCTATGTTGCTTGGGATTTGTAGGCTTGCCGAATTTAACTGATGCGCCGGTTGATCAGCTATTATGTGTGGTAGGACAAAGGCTTCAACTTCTTGTGTGAAGGCGTTATGCATTGATTTTATTTGAACGTTTGCTCTTGCTCTACTGGTTTTTGGATTGCCTCCAATGCCCTCGATCCGTAGAGAAGTTCCATGAAGTTTCAGTGATAGTACTGAAGCCATTCGTTCGGAAATCAGATTTATTTGTGATCCTGAATCTAGCAGCGCTCTGAAGGTAGCAACTTGACCATTGCTAGCCTTCACTGATACTTTGACTGTGGCCAGCAAGTTATAATTCTTGTTGCTTGCTGCACCTACAGTAGGTGAATGTTGATTGGATGATGCACCTGATGTGGTTTCCAGATGCAACAAAGTATGATGTTTCTTGTCGCACTTAAAACACGGGCGACCACGGCAATCCTTTGCCTTATGGTCATTGCTGAAGCAGTTGACACACAGTCTTTGTTTTTGTACCCAATTAACTCGTTCGGGTATTGTTTTGCTGCGGAAGTCATCGCATTTATAGAGCCAGTGATTCCTTTTGCAAAATTGACAGCATGGTCCTTTTCCAGTACTGGCTGATGAGCATGTAGGACCCTTCTGTTCCTTTCTTGATTGTTGACGTTCAACTACCTTTGCCTAAGCCGGTCGTGTTTTTCTGTTGCTCCAGAATCTTTTGTTTATTTGAGTGATAAAATTTTAAATTTAATCGCTAAATTAGCCTACAAGTTCTGTGGTTCATAAACTCCTCCTGTTCAAATCAAATCCGAGCTCGGACAGTTAATATAAAAGTGTTTAATTTATAAACAAACCAGAAAATTAACTTCAGCCAGCAAACAACAACAAAGCGTCTGCTTTGTCACAGCAAGTATTGTGTTGTTGTTTTTATTCTCCCGCTCTCCTGCTGTACGCCTCTCGGAGCTGCCGGTCCGTTATTACTCTAACGGCACTTTTCCCGCTCTCCGCTTTGTGCGTGTCGCCTAAATTCACCGATCAGTGCAAGCCCTCCTGCTAACTTACGCTCTTAAATCCGAACGTTGTAGCTTGCTGCTCTGTATTCCGCTGCTCTCCACGCGTTGCCTTAATCTTTCGCCGCTCTTACTTTGCTCTGCATAGTGACCTGAGTGCATTCAAAAATGAGTCTATCCTGCTCAGCCAAAAAATGCGAGTTCAACGGCGTTATTGCTGGCGAAACTTATTTGTTGTGCTGGCTATGCGAGAATACTGCGCATTGCAAGTGCGCCGGTGTCGGCGTACATGGTCGTATTGGGGATCTTATTTCCAAAAGAATTGGATTTCTTTGGACTTGCTCCGCGTGCCGTGAGATTACGGACGAGATGCGTTCCTTCATGCGGCAAACTCGAACTGGCTTCAGGGAGATCAAGAAGCTGTTTAGTCACCTTCACGAGAAGCTGATAGCCGTTGAGTCCCAGTTTAATGGGCTAAAAATAATTAAGGAAACTCCAACAAAGCTTTCTTCTCCTCCAACTGGCCAATTAATAAACCACCTTACTCCTACTATTCCACCTTCATCCATGAGGGATCCTGGCTCCTCCAATAGCTCACTAATGTACGCTTCATTAGTTTCTGCCAACGCCAGTGTAAACGATAAAAACTACGTATCCTCGAATAACCTTGTGCCTCCACTGCCGGGTCCTTTATTATTGTGCCCTACCATTGAATCAGCCATGTCTCCTACTAGATTGGCAATTCCTGCTCCAGTGCTTAATTTTGTTACTCCTAAGTCTATCTGTGCAGACCTGGCCCCTGGCTCTCATCCTGAGCCTGATCCTGGTGCCTTACAATTCAACCTTCCACAATCCGCCAACGCGGTACCGTCGGTATCCTCCGTTAAAACGGCACCGCCAGTATCCTCTGGTCAAGTATCGTCGGTTGTACATAATGTACATAATGGTCCTGGTTCCTCCAAAAGAAATCGCAGGCCCCTCCTGGCTGCGGTTAATAATGGTCATCCAGCAGGCGCAAACCGTAGACGCCTCGAAGCTGTAGCGCCACAAGCAATCATGCCAAAGAAGGCCATTTTTGTGTCGCGTCTAAGGCCAGATACTACCATCGATGAAATTAAAGGTCACCTAAGCGATGAGCTCCAAGCCTCTCCTGAAAACTTTGTTGTAACAAAATTTAATTTTGCTTACAAAAGAAAAGTTTCTTCATTTAAAATAATTCTGCCTGATACACATTTTTCCCGTGCTTTAAATCCTGCACTATGGCCAGTTAATACGATTGTTCACGAGTTTGATCGGAAAGAACCAGCTATAAATACAAATCCGTCAGTTCCAAAAAACTAGATTTTGTATTACATTATCAAAATGTCCGTGGCCTTCTCAGTAAGCTGTTCAGATTGCATACTGACAGTGCTGCTTTTGATCCCAGCGTTATTGCTTTTACTGAGACTTGGCTTAATCCAACGGTATCTGATAATGAAATACTTACCAATAATTTTTTCCTCTATAGACGTGACCGTCCCTCTAAACGAGGTGGGGGTGTCCTAATCGCAGTAAAGTCTGAAATATCATCCCAAGTTGTATCCATTCCCAATGCTGGTAATATTGAATTCATGTCAGTCAAAATATGTCTTCCTAACTGCAACATATTTGTAACCTGCTCCTATATTCCTCCATGCTCTGAGGCTTCGATCTATATGCAACACCTCTCCGCTATCCAGAATATCTCATCATATTCCTCTGACTCAGACCATATTATAATACTGGGTGACTTTAATATTCCGTACCTATCCTGGTCTCCTTGTGTCGATCTAATTGCCCTCGTTCCTGGTGATCAAAACGATTTTGTCGACGGTCTTATTGACTTATCTCTTGGTCAAGTTAACTCAATTTCTAATGCGAATGGAAGATTTTTAGATCTTATTTTTGTGTCTGACCTTTGTGATGCCATTGTCACACGTACCTCTCCATTGACCACTCCTGAGGACTCTCATCATCCTACACTCCAACTATCCATTAGTGGCATTTTTCGGGTACCCAATTTCTTTGAGGCCCCATTGCGGACTCGTTGTTTTCGGCATGTAAATTATTTGCAAATGTCGAGATCCCTATCTTCAGTGGATTGGTCTTGTCTTGATAGTCTTCATCTTGATGAGGCCATTTCAACTTTTTATAATGTCCTTCATTCCATATTTGATGAATTAGTCCCTTCCACAGTTGTTAATAACTCTAACAGCCCTCCGTGGTCTTCCAAACACTTGGCTCACTTAAAAAATATAAAAACTAAACTTTTTAAGAAGTTCGCCAAAACAGGACTTCAGTCTGATTTTTCCAAATACAGCGTTGCTAAATCCAATTACTTCCTGCATAATTCTGAATGTTATAACAGCTACCTCCTACGCTGTAAAAACGAATTTCGCAGCAATCCTAAATTATTTTATTCCTTCGTCAACTCAAAGCGCAAAGCTAACAAATTTCCTCCATCACTACAGCTAAATAATGTATCTGCATCGAATGATCAAGATATTGGCAACCTGTTTGCGGACTTTTTCCAATCCACCTATTGCAAAAATAATACCGGAATCAATTGTAGCTACTCCTACCAGCTACCCCACACTGACGCCATTTTCAATCCTCTAATTGATGAAGCAGAAGTTCTACGTAGCCTATCCACGATTAAATTATCATTCTCTGCGGGTCCTGATATGGTTCCAAGCTGTGTCCTCAAACATTGCGCCATACCACTTGCAGTTCCATTAACTATGATTTTTCATAAGTCGATTGCTACTGGCACATTTCCATCTATGTGGAAAGAATCCTTTCTTATTCCGCTACATAAAAAAGGTAGTAAATCTGATATCAGCAACTATCGCGGCATAGCCAAACTTAGTGCTATTCCTAAGCTCTTTGAAAAACTTATTTGCGATCAACTGCAGCACCAGTGTCGCTCCTTAATATCCTCTAAGCAGCATGGTTTCACAAAGTGCCGGTCTACAACAACTAACCTGCTTGAGTTTACGACCTTCATTAGTCAAGGCTTTAAATCCACAATGCAAACTGATGTTATCTTTACTGACTTTAGTAAAGCCTTTGATTCGGTCAACCACGAGCTACTGCTCCACAAGCTCCTCCTCCTCGGATTTCCTCCAACTCTACTGACATGGCTTCGTTCTTATTTAACAAATCGTACCCAAAAGGTCCAGTACAACAGCATTTATTCAAAAGCTGTTTCCGTATATTCGGGTGTACCACAAGGCAGTCACCTCGGTCCTTTACTATTTGGCTTATTTATCAACGATCTTCCTCAAGTAATTGAGTTCTCCAAAGTACTTATGTTTGCGGATGATGTCAAGTTGTGTATGCATCTGACCTCACCTAGTTCCTACATGCAGCTCCAGCTCGACTTAAATAACCTTCAATCCTGGTGCCTAGTCAACAAGCTACTGCTCAATCCTGATAAATGTAAATCCATGTCATTTTATCGATCCAATCCATATATTTGTACATACTCAATAGATCACTCTGCACTTGAACGCATTGATACTGTTCTTGATCTTGGTGTCCTATTTGACCACAAGATTTGTTTTAATAGCCACGTCAGTACCATCTCCAATAAAGCTAAATGCTTATTAGCTTTCATAAAACGCTGGTCTAAGGAATTTGATGACCCTTTCACCACTAAGCTCCTTTACGTCTCTCTAATTCGTCCTACACTTGAGTACTGCTCCAGTGTTTGGTCTCCACAATATGAGCACTATCAAAATATGATAGAATCCGTCCAAAAGCAATTTCTCCTTTTTGCACTACGAGGCTTAAACTGGGAGGAGGGACGCCGTTTGCCATCTTATAGAGACAGGTTGCGCCTCTTGGATCTACCTACCTTAAAGGATCGTCGGACCTGTTATGGTGTGATATTACTTCACAAACTCATCACTGGCGCCGTCGACTCAGTTGATCTGTTAGCCACCCTCAATTGGAACGTTCCTTGCAGAGCTACTCGCAGATTCCGTCCATTAGCACTTCCTGTGTGCAGGTCAAACTACTCCCGTTTCGACCCCTTCCGAATCCTATGTGATAACTATAATGAACTTTATCACCTCATATCCTATGAGTGCTCTGCCAAGGCTAATTCGCTAAAAGTCATTGCGTTCCTTTCTACATCGACTTAATTAGTTCTCCTACTTATTGTTTTTTTTTACATTTATGATATTTTTATGCTATGTATATAATTTTAAGTCTTTTGAGCAGTACATTGCTTTAAATAAACAAATACAAATACAAAAGAACTCGGATGCGCTGGTCCAGAAAACTGAGCAGTGTGTCGAGACCCTGTAACTCTCGGGACCCATCTAACGACTGCTCGTATAGGGCTCTGCTTGCAAGATCCAATTTTTGCTTGATGATGGCAATCAATATTGTATCCCAACTTGATACATCGATGCCCAGTCCCTTTAATGATGCTAGAGACTCGAGATCGAGACTCGAGACCTTGGATCGTCACTAACTGTGTTTTGATGCAGGAAACGATTGAGAATCGTGTCTGCCACATGTCGGGGATTGTTGTAGGAATCGACTAATATACCCCAGGCGCTGAGGTAATTTTCTTCCTTAAGATCGATATGTCTTATCAATCTTTCAGCCTCTCCAGTTACGGTGGTTTTTAGGTACCACATTTTCCGTACCGTCGGCATGTTAGTATCATGGACCATGCATTTAAATAAGTCAAAAAACTGAGTCCATTTGAGTAGATCCCCATCGAATTTGGGGATGCTGACTCTGGGCAAATGCATATCTTCATTGCTCGAGGAGCTTGATTTTGCTCCTAAGATATCTTGAATTTCCTTTTCAAGTTTCAGGAAGGATTTCATGTCATATCCTCCTTTGCTTGGATCATCGTATTCTTCATGTACCGAGAAATGGATCTCTTGCGTTTGCGCCCATAGTGATTTTATCAAATCACTTGTTATGCTCTTTCCCGTACCTGAATACTCTTTCAGAGCGCGCCTAATAGAATCTGATATTGCCTTTTGTCGACGACATGCAGATATTAGTTTCTGGAACCCTATCGTGGGATGCTGAATGCTTGCAGGGTTACCAGTTGGGTCTGGAATTACCTCGGCTTGGCTTGTTGATTGTTCCATGCCGTCCCGTATGATAGCTCGATATTTGTCGTATGACTCACGACAGTCGTTATAGAACTTCATGTATAACGTAGTTCTATACTTTTGAGGAATCTTGAGATCATTCGTTGTGAATCGATTCCAAGTGTCATCGAGAATGGTTAGTCTATTTTCATAATAGTTCGGACTTGATTTCCTCTCCGATGAATCTTTCTTGAAGTTGATGATAAATTTGGAGATTTCTTGACTGATCTCCTCTTGCACGTCAAGTGTTTCTTTGACGGCTTGTTCCTCCATGTCACTCATATTTATTACCTTGTGTTAAAAACTTCTGACCCGTTGGGAGGGTTTTATTTGCTTGTATAGCTGGATACGCTCCTATTCGCAACCGAAATGGTCTAAGAAGCTTTTAACACTTATGAATGATTTGGGTAAGTTTGATGACAGCAACTGTGGTGCTGAGTTCTCGTATTCTGAGAATGTTTGATTCTGGTTTCAAAGTGTCGCCTGTTGACAACTTCGAAAATGTGTCCGGGATTGGATGATCTAAATCCGTTTACCGGGATCACAAAAAACGATTTTATCAAATCGTTGACGGAGCTGGTCGCCTTGTTGACCAGTCTTCCAACTTCCTGAGTCGACTTTGCTCAGGTGTCCTTAATCTGTCGCCTTGTTGACGACTTGGGTAAAAGGACTTGTATGGAAGATATCTCCAACGTTGTGTTCTATGGTGTGATCTCTTGGTGATATCACGTCGGGGTCACCAAAATGTTTATTGATTGGCTTAGGTGCCTGGCATACAGTACATAAACTGTCTGCCTAAAGTCGTCGCAACTAGAACTTGGACCAGTTGGACTAAGGATTGCATATGAGGATCTGAAGACTAGAGCGACAGCCTCTGTTGAATGCAAAATGAGTAAAACTTGATTGTAGGAGTCAAAATTGTTACTGATTTTATTGTATAAACTTAACGGTATTTATAAGTAAAAAGTGCATAGGTTAACAGAATAGGTATAAAGCAAAAGTGTCGGTTATTATGCATTATGCAAGCCCGGATAGTTACAATTCAGCAGAATAAGCTTGTGCCAATAAGTGGGTCATTGATAATGTTTCTGACGGCTTGACCCGATATATGATACTTCAGAGCGCTGACTTATAACTATTGCTGCGACTGAACAGATGGTTTGAAGTGTACTCTGTGGGAAAACGGACCAGAATTCTTGCTCAGAAGTCAAGACGAGTGGCCTCGTCTTCATCAGATTGAAGTTTCACCTGATTTACAGCTGTCCGAGAACAAGAAAAGCGTGGCAGTGTGTTCCGTAACAAAAAGCCAACCTAACGTGATTACTGATCTTATTGGAAGATGCTCGTCGTACAATAAACTACTTCGGATTATGGCATACGTAAATCGGTTCATTCAAGGGAAAAAGCGGCGTCGAGACGTAAATATTTCGGCACAAGAACTAAAAATATCGTTCGTTAGGCTGGTCCAAGTACTTCAGAACCTTGAGTTTGGTTCAGAACACATTAAGTTAGAGAAATCAGAATGTTTGGCCCCACATCTTCAACGTCTAAATCCCTTCATACACACAATGGAGCTTGATGGTATGACCTTTCGATTAATTCGTGTTGGAGGCAGGTTGGGTAATGCGCCTTTTCGTTATGATGCTAAATTTCCATTATTGCTGTCTCAAAAGTCACAATTTGTTACCCTCTTTCTTCGCAATTTGCATCAGACTCATTATCATGCAGGTGCCAAAGTGATGGTATCACTCTTGAGGCAGCAGATTTGGCTTATCAACGCACGAGAGGCGTGTACGAGGATTGTCCGTAGCTGCGTCCACTGTTTCCGTTATAAGACCAAGCTACTTGGTCAGATAATGGGCAATTTGCCCGCCGATCGGGTTAGGAAAGCTCGACCCTTTTTGATTTTTGGGGTAGACTTCTGCGGTCCATTCTATGTCTCGTTGAAACTCCGTGGGAAACCCCCCAATAAGACTTATGTGGCTGTCTTCGTTTGTTTTTCGTCAAAGGCTGTTCATCTTGAGCTCGTTGTTGATTTATCTACTGACAGCTTCTTATCTGTGTTCAAAAGGTTCGTCGGACGGAGAGGTCTTCCGGAGAAGGTATACAGCGACAACGCCACCAACTTCGTGGGAGCGAGCAAGGTTCTCGAAGAGCTGCACGTAGCGTTTCACCGGAACAAGGATCAACTGACGGCGTACGCGGCTCAGAGGGGCGTCGAGTGGTCGTTTATCCCACCGAGGTCACCACACTTCGGCGGGCTATGGGAGGCAGCCATCAAGGCAGCCAAGCATCGCTTGCTGCGAGGGGTCGGCAACGCCAAGCTCACAGCAGACGAGTTGAGCACCCACCTAGTGGAGGTAGAAGCGCCGCTCAATTCTCGTCCGATTGCGTCGCCTGGCAACGACCCCAACGATGGAGAAGCTCTCACACCAGGACATTTGCTCATCGGTCAGCCTCTTCTTACGCTGCCGCCAGAATCCGAAACAAACGAAATCTGCAGCAAGGCAAGCTTCGGATATTTGAAGCGGTGGCGAATGCTGTCTGCGCTCAAGCAGCAGTTTTGGCAAAGCTGGTCCAAGGATTACCTGGCCAGCCTGCAGCAGCGCAACAAATGGAGCATCGAGGGCCCCGATCTAAAAATTGGGTGCCTTGTTCTCGTCCACGAGGACAATCTGCCGCCGCAACGGTGGCTTACAGGGCGCGTGGTGGCAACATTATTCGGCGAGGACGGCAGAGTGCGTGTCGCCGAAATTCAGACGTCTGGAGGCGTCATCAAGCGCGCAATCCACAAACTGGCGTTGCTGCCAATAAGCAGCACAAACGAGGAAGTTAAAGCGCCGGAGGCCTTTAACGGGGTCGGAATGTTGGATTGTAATTATTAAAAATAGGAAAACATGAATTTAAAAATGAAAAGAATTATCTGAATTGTAAACAAAACATAATGTTAATATTCGCATTCACATACGAGCTTTGTTTGGGTTTGCACTCAAGCTCACCACATAGCTGAGTCGCTTACTCTTATACTGATAAGCTTGTAACTTCGGAACTCTTGTAATTGTTCGCACTGCTCGTGGGAGTCAGTCGTTCGTTATCGCTTGAAACCGCTGGCTGCGCCAGCGCAATAAATGGATTAAAATTGGACTGCTGCTCTGTTTTTCGTTCGAGTGGAAAATCCCCAGCTAGGTTGCTTAACGTAGTCGCATTTGTAACATATTCTTTTCCGTGAAAAATCTCACGGATTTTCAGTGTTAATTTTTTCAATAATAACTGATGGTTCACGGAATCGAAAGCTTTACTGAAGTCCGTAAAAATAACATCGGTTTGATTATCATTTTTAAAAGCGCTTCTGATGACTGAAGTAAACTCAAGAAGATTTGTAGTCGTTGATCTTCGTTTCATAAAGCCATGCTGAGTTGGGGACATTACTGAGCTGCATTGGTGCTGTAGCTGAGCGGTAATAAGCTGTTCGAAAAACTTGGGAATTGCGCTTAGTTTTGCAATACCACGGTAGTTTTTAATGTCCGACTTGCTTCCTTCCAAACTTCAGGTAAAAATGAATGAAGGAGGGATATTTGAAACAGTTTAGATAGCGGTTTGCACAAAGCATCGGCACATTTTTTTAAGATACAGCTCGATTCAAGATCAGGGCCAGAAGAGAAAGACGTCTTGATTGTGTGCAAATTTTGTAAAACATCGTCCTCACTAATTAGATGGTGTCTGCTTCGGGAACGTCTGTTAGAATTTGCCCATTATTGGAGCACCATTTTCGGAGCTTGAAACCGGATGGTAACAGTATTTTATTTAATTCCTTTTGAATTTGGACTGCTTCCGCAACGCTGTTTGCTCCAGTGAGACAGTCATCTACGTAGAAATCGTGCTTTAGAGCAGACGATCCAAGCGGGAATTGATCCTTTGCCTTCTCGGACAAGTAATCTAAGCATTTTGTTGCTAGGAATGGGGCTGACGTTGTACCGTAAGTTACGGTTTTGAGCCGATAATATTTAAGATCATCTGATAGATTCCTTCTCCAGAATATTAGTTGATGATATTGATCGTCAGGGTGTATCCACACCTGCCGATACATTTTCTCTATGTCCGCTGTAAACACGTATTTATGAGTGCGGAAGCGTAATAGAATTGCAAATAGCTCGCTTTGCACCGTGGGTCCAGCATAGAGTATGTCGTTCAAAGACTTGTTGCTGGTGGTTTTGCATGAAGCGTCGAATACTACCCTCAACTTTGTTGTACTGCTCTTCGGCTTCAGCACACAGTGATGTGGAATGAAGTAGTGATTAGCGGGTATATCTGTTTGATGCACTTGTTTCATGTGTCCGAGTGCTTCGTATTCATTCATAAAGTCCACGTGGCCTTTCCAGACTTCAGGTGACGTTCTTCTTTCTAGAGCCAGAAATCTATTCGTGGCTGTTTTCTGTGATGCCCCCAGGGCTGAAGACTGTTCAGAAAATGGGAGTTTCACAACAAATTTGCCATCCTTTGCAACTCCCAAGTTTCCTACGAAGTGCATTTCGCAATGAGCCTCTATTGGTGATCGATGCCTTTCCTCGGTTTCAAGATTTTCTAGAGTCCAGAATCGTTCCAATAGTCTGTCAACTTCTTCGTCTGTAGCTGCGGCGGCACAAACCGCCGCTGAATCGTGATCCGAGGAGATCCGTCCGGCAATGATCCATCCAAGTTTTGTATTCTGAAGAACTGGTCCTCCTGTCTTTAGTATAGACTGGTTTGGCAGCAGCAATGAATAGTAGTGCTCTGCTCCGATAAGCATGTCAATCTTTCCTGGCTTATCGAAATTTGGATCGGCTAGAGCTATGTTGCTTGGGATTTGTAGGCTTGCCGAATTTAACTGATGCGCCGGTTGATCAGCTATTATGTGTGGTAGGACAAAGGCTTCAACTTCTTGTGTGAAGGCGTTATGCATTGATTTTATTTGAACGCTTGCTCTTGCTCTACTGGTTTTTGGATTGCCTCCAATGCCCTCGATCCGTAGAGAAGTTCCATGAAGTTTCAGTGATAGTACTGAAGCCATTCGTTCGGAAATCAGATTTATTTGTGATCCTGAATATAGCAGCGCTCTGAAGGTAGCAACTTGACCATTGCTAGCCTTCACTGATACTTTGACTGTGGCCAGCAAGTTATAATTCTTGTTGCTTGCTGCACCTACAGTAGGTGAATGTTGATTGGATGATGCACCTGATGTGGTTTCCAGATGCAACAAAGTATGATGTTTCTTGTCGCACTTAAAACACGGGCGACCACGGCAATCCTTTGCCTTATGGTCATTGCTGAAGCAGTTGACACACAGTCTGTGTTTTTGTACCCAATTAACTCGTTCGGGTATTGTTTTGCTGCGGAAGTCATCGCATTTATAGAGCCAGTGATTCCTTTTGCAAAATTGACAGCATGGTCCTTTTCCAGTACTGGCTGATGAGCATGTAGGACCCTTCTGTTCCTTTCTTGATTGTTGTCCCTTTTTTCCTGTTCCAAGAACTCGGATGCGCTGGTCCAGAAAACTGAGCAGTGTGTCGAGACCCTGTAACTCTCGGGACCCATCTAACGACTGCTCGTATAGGGCTCTGCTTGCAAGATCCAATTTTTGCTTGATGATGGCAATCAATATTGTATCCCAACTTGATACATCGATGCCCAGTCCCTTTAATGATGCTAGAGACTCGATAGTTATAATGTACAACTCTTTTAATGACCTTGGATCGTCACTAACTGTGTTTTGATGCAGGAAACGATTGAGAATCGTGTCTGCCACATGTCGGGGATTGTTGTAGGAATCGACTAATATACCCCAGGCGCTGAGGTAATTTTCTTCCTTAAGATCGATATGTCTTATCAATCTTTCAGCCTCTCCAGTTACGGTGGTTTTTAGGTACCACATTTTCCGTACCGTCGGCATGTTAGTATCATGGACCATGCATTTAAATAAGTCAAAAAACTGAGTCCATTTGAGTAGATCCCCATCGAATTTGGGGATGCTGACTCTGGGCAAATGCATATGGGCACTTCCAAAATGTCGCTCGGGACATTTGCACACCTTTAAAGTTGAAAAAAAATTGTAAAACAATGGATTTTAATTTTAATTATGGGCTTTTCTTTTCACTCTTCCCAAGCTCAATTTTTGGTAAAAATCTTGATTTTGTACCACTTTTAGTTTTTAAGATATCGGTAAAAAACTGCCGTATTCGCTCGGGACAAAAATAGAAGTGGATTTCAGGGAAGTTCATACAACACCAGAAATTAGCGAATTCTGATGGAATATTTGAATGCGATTTTTTTAGAATGTTGTTCAAACATGTCGCTGTGAAATGCTTTTGGTTTCACTCAAAAATTCTTTGCCGTTTTTTTTTTATGCAGTTTCAACCACATTCGCTCGGGACATGTCGCTCGGGACATTTTTTCCGACTGTTTTGTAAAGCGGATTTCTTTACCTCTATCTCTCAATTGCTGGATGTTTTGCTTTTAACTTAATAGTTTAGCATGTGAATGAAGCATTCAGTACAGAAAAATGTCACATATTAGCATTCCTATAGGATAAATTTACAACAGAAGACAGGTCCAAAAAATAACAAAAAAATAGCCAAAAACTGATTTTTGCGTATATTGGTGGGGTTTGTCATAAAAATAATCAAACTATACTCAAAATTTGTAGTTAAGCTCAGTATCCAACTAATTAGAAACTAATATCAGGGCAAAATCATGTAGAAATATGTTTTATTCAAGTTTCAAGGTTTTTGGCTTGGTGGACTTTTTTTTGGAAGTGCCCATATCTTCATTGCTCGAGGAGCTTGATTTTGCTCCTAAGATATCTTGAATTTCCTTTTCAAGTTTCAGGAAGGATTTCATGTCATATCCTCCTTTGCTTGGATCATCGTATTCTTCATGTACCGAGAAATGGATCTCTTGCGTTTGCGCCCATAGTGATTTTATCAAATCACTTGTTACGCTCTTTCCCGTACCTGAATTTTCTTTCAGAGCGCGCCTAATAGAATCTGATATTGCCTTTTGTCGACGACATGCAGATATTAGTTTCTGGAACCCTATCGTGGGATGCTGAATGCTTGCAGGGTTACCAGTTGGGTCTGGAATTACCTCGGCTTGGCTTGTTGATTGTTCCATGCCGTCCCGTATGATAGCTCGATATTTGTCGTATGACTCACGACAGTCGTTATAGAACTTCATGTATAACGTAGTTCTATACTTTTGAGGAATCTTGAGATCATTCGTTGTGAATCGATTCCAAGCGTCATCGAGAATGGTTAGTCTATTTTCATAATAGTTCGGACTTGATTTCCTCTCCGATGAATCTTTCTTGAAGTTGATGATAAATTTGGAGATTTCTTGACTGATCTCCTCTTGCACGTCAAGTGTTTCTTTGACGGCTTGTTCCTCCATGTCACTCATATTTATTACCTTGTGTTAAAAACTTCTGACCCGTTGGGAGTGTTTTATTTGCTTGTATAGCTGGATACGCTCCTATTCGCAACCGAAATGGTCTAAGAAGCTTTTAACACTTATGAATGATTTGGGTAAGTTTGATGACAGCAACTGTGGTGCTGAGTTCTCGTATTCTGAGAAGGTTTGATTCTGGTTTCAAAGTGTCGCCTGTTGACAACTTCGAAAATGTGTCCGGGATTGGATGATCTAAATCCGTTTACCGGGATCACAAAAAACGATTTTATCAAATCGTTGACGGAGCTGGTCGCCTTGTTGACCAGTCTTCCAACTTCCTGAGTCGACTTTGCTCAGGTGTCCTTAATCTGTCGCCTTGTTGACGACTTGGGTAAAAGGACTTGTATGGAAGATATCTCCAACGTTGTGTTCTATGGTGTGATCTCTTGGTGATATCACGTCGGGGTCACCAAAATGTTTATTGATTGGCTTAGGTGCCTGGCATACAGTACATAAACTGTCTGCCTAAAGTCGTCGCAACTAGAACTTGGACCAGTTGGACTAAGGATTGCATATGAGGATCTGAAGACTAGAGCGACAGCCTCTGTTGAATGCAAAATGAGTAAAACTTGATTGTAGGAGTCAAAATTGTTACTGATTTTATTGTATAAACTTAACGGTATTTATAGGTAAAAAGTGCATAGGTTAACAGAATAGGTATAAATCAAAAGTGTCGGTTATTTTGCATTATGCAAGCCCGGATAGTTACAATTCAGCAGAATAAGCTTGTGCCAATAAGTGGGTCATTGATAATGTTTCTGACGGCTTGACCCGATATATGATACTTCAGAGCGCTGACTTATAACTATTGCTGCGACTGAACAGATGGTTTGAAGTGTACTCTGTGGGAAAACGGACCAGAATTCTTGCTCAGAAGTCAAGACGAGTGGCCTCGTCTTCATCAGATTGAAGTTTCACCTGATTTACAGCTGTCCGAGAACAAGAAAAGCGTGGCAGTGTGTTCCGTAACAAAAAGCCAACCTAACGTGATTACTGATCTTATTGGAAGATGCTCGTCGTACAATAAACTACTTCGGATTATGGCATACGTAAATCGGTTCATTCAAGGGAAAAAGCGGCGTCGAGACGTAAATATTTCGGCACAAGAACTAAAAATATCGTTCGTTAGGCTGGTCCAAGTACTTCAGAACCTTGAGTTTGGTTCAGAACACATTAAGTTAGAGAAATCAGAATGTTTGGCCCCACATCTTCAACGTCTAAATCCCTTCATACACACAATGGAGCTTGATGGTATGACCTTTCGATTAATTCGTGTTGGAGGCAGGTTGGGTAATGCGCCTTTTCGTTATGATGCTAAATTTCCATTATTGCTGTCTCAAAAGTCACAATTTGTTACCCTCTTTCTTCGCAATTTGCATCAGACTCATTATCATGCAGGTGCCAAAGTGATGGTATCACTCTTGAGGCAGCAGATTTGGCTTATCAACGCACGAGAGGCGTGTACGAGGATTGTCCGTAGCTGTCCACTGTTTCCGTTATAAGCCCAAGCTACTTGGTCAGATAATGGGGGCAATTTGCCCGCCGATCGGGTTAGGAAAGCTCGACCCTTTTTGATTTTTGGGGTAGACTTCTGCGGTCCATTCTATGTCTCGTTGAAACTCCGTGGGAAACCCCCCAAAAAGACTTATGTGGCTGTCTTCGTTTGTTTTTCGTCAAAGGCTGTTCATCTTGAGCTCGTTGTTGATTTATCTACTGACAGCTTCTTATCTGTGTTCAAAAGGTTCGTCGGACGGAGAGGTCTTCCGGAGAAGGTATACAGCGACAACGCCACCAACTTCGTGGGAGCGAGCAAGGTTCTCGAAGAGCTGCACGTAGCGTTTCACCGGAACAAGGATCAACTGACGGCGTACGCGGCTCAGAGGGGCGTCGAGTGGTCGTTTATCCCACCGAGGTCACCACACTTCGGCGGGCTATGGGAGGCAGCCATCAAGGCAGCCAAGCATCGCTTGCTGCGAGGGGTCGGCAACGCCAAGCTCACAGCAGACGAGTTGAGCACCCACCTAGTGGAGGTAGAAGCGCTGCTCAATTCTCGTCCGATTGCGTCGCCTGGCAACGACCCCAACGATGGAGAAGCTCTCACACCAGGACATTTGCTCATCGGTCAGCCTCTTCTTACGCTGCCGCCAGAATCCGAAACAAACGAAATCTGCAGCAAGGCAAGCTTCGGATATTTGAAGCGGTGGCGAATGCTGTCTGCGCTCAAGCAGCAGTTTTGGCAAAGCTGGTCCAAGGATTACCTGGCCAGCCTGCAGCAGCGCAACAAATGGAGCATCGAGGGCCCCGATCTAAAGATTGGGTGCCTTGTTCTCGTCCACGAGGACAATCTGCCGCCGCAACGGTGGCTTACAGGGCGCGTGGTGGCAACATTATTCGGCGAGGACGGCAGAGTGCGTGTCGCCGAAATTCAGACGTCTGGAGGCGTCATCAAGCGCGCAATCCACAAACTGGCGTTGCTGCCAATAAGCAGCACAAACGAGGAAGTTAAAGCGCCGGAGGCCTTTAACGGGGTCGGAATGTTGGATTGTAATTATTAAAAATAGGAAAACATGAATTTAAAAATGAAAAGAATTATCTGAATTGTAAACAAAACATAATGTTAATATTCGCATTCACATACGAGCTTTGTTTGGGTTTGCACTCAAGCTCACCACATAGCTGAGTCGCTTACTCTTATACTGATAAGCTTGTAACTTCGGAACTCTTGTAATTGTTCGCACTGCTCGTGGGAGTCAGTCGTTCGTTATCGCTTGAAACCGCTGGCTGCGCCAGCGCAATAAATGGATTAAAATTGGACTGCTGCTCTGTTTTTCGTTCGAGTGGAAAATCCCCAGCTAGGTTGCTTAACGTAGTCGCATTTGTAACATATTCTTTTCCGTGAAAAATCTCACGGATTTTCAGTGTTAATTTTTTTAATAATAACTGATGGTTCACGGAATCGAAAGCTTTACTGAAGTCCGTAAAAATAACATCGGTTTGATTATCATTTTTAAAAGCGCTTCTGATGACTGAAGTAAACTCAAGAAGATTTGTAGTCGTTGATCTTCGTTTCATAAAGCCATGCTGAGTTGGGGACATTACTGAGCTGCATTGGTGCTGTAGCTGAGCGGTAATAAGCTGTTCGAAAAACTTGGGAATTGCGCTTAGTTTTGCAATACCACGGTAGTTTTTAATGTCCGACTTGCTTCCTTCCAAACTTCAGGTAAAAATGAATGAAGGAGGGATATTTGAAACAGTTTAGATAGCGGTTTGCACAAAGCATCTGTTGCCGAAATCGACGACGGCTGAAGCACCCCAGTGAGAACATGTTCGCGGAGTTGCCAACTCTATTCATTTTTATCCTATTCCCCTTTGCTCACGGCTCGTCCAGCTGTTAATCGCTGAGTAGCTCTTACTCACCACGCTTGCAGAGCTTACATACATACACACAAGTGGGGTGAGATTGCCGATTCTATTTTGTGGTTCAGTTGTGAATAGAAAAGCGAAGGGCTAGGGTAAGAAAATCTACGTAAATTTAAGATCACATGTAAAACCTTGCATTTGCAGAAATTTTAAGCGTCACAGCGTCACCACGAAGAGGGACAGCTGAAATAAATACTAGACTTGCATCGGAGTTTAATTTATTGTACGGCGCTGTAAAAACCAGCTTATTTTCGCAACATTTCTTAAAATTTCCTACTCTGACTGGACCACGTGGGACGTTACATAATAGCCTGGCGATATGGCACCAACTAATAGTTGTTATTTATGTTCCGCCCCCGACAACGAGGAGATGCTAAGATGCATCAAGTGTTCCAGCCAATATCACCCTACATGCTGTGGACTGGACAACTGTAGTACCACCAGCAATTGGACGTGCGCATGTTGCACGGAGAAGGCGGCGCAGACCTTCGTTCAACAGGGCGACCCTAACCTCACTAGCATTCAACTCGTACAAGAGGCCAACAAAACGCCAACTGAAAGCAACCAGCCAAACCAGAGTGGCGGGGAGCTATCAGAGGACCAGCGGCAGCTTATGTTACAGCAGTTGCAGGAGGAGTTGGATGTCGAAAAGGAATTTCTTCGTCGCAAATTCGCCCTGTTGAGATCCGGAGTTACACCAACCGGAATCGAGACGCAAATAAATCAGCGAGGCCAAGAATGTGCGAACTCTCAACTTACCGCCACCGGTATACAGTTTGCGGAAAACAACGGATGCAGTACTCCGCACCAGCCGGTTGAGCCCCAACTCATTACAACACGGCAAGCAGCCTTTAGGCAGATGGTGCCCCGAGAGTTGCCCTCCTTTAGTGGCGATCCAAAGGAATGGCCAATTTTCTTCAGTTCATTCGAAAGCAGCACAAAAATGGCCTGTTACAGCAACGAGGAAAATATGATCAGGCTGCAGAAGGCTCTAAAAGGGAAAGCTTTGGATGCAGTCAGAGACTGCCTTCTATTTCCTGACACGTTGCCAGACGTCATGAGAACCTTAAGGATGTACTTCGGTCGCCCAGAGCATATCTTGAAAGTCGTGGTTGATAATATGAGAAGGATGCCGGCACCCAAAGGACAGCTCGAACCGCTCATCGAGCTGGCTTTCGCCGTAAAAAATATGTGTGCCACTATGAAAGCCAGTAATATGTTGGCCCATCTTAACAATCCAACACTTTTACAAGAAATCGTTGAGAAGCTAGGCCCTGAGATGATGCTGAATTGGGCTTTGTACTCAAAGCAATTCGACTGCCCCAATCTACAACACTTAGCGGATTGGATGTTTGAGTTAGCTGACGCAGCTTGTCGGGTAACAACTCCAGCAGTCGGCAGGACAGCCGAGAGGAGATCATTACGCCAAGGCTGCCTAAATACGCACACAGCAGTGGCAGGCTCAGCTCAACAAAGGGTCGAGCACTGCATGGTCTGCGACGGGCCGCACTGCATATCACGTTGCGAAAGTTTCGCCGGTCTGCCTTATGCGGCTAAATGGGATGTGGTGAGAACAAGTCACTTGTGCAAAATATGTTTAAAGAGGCATAACAAATCCTGCTGGAAAAAAAGGTCTTGTGGGATCAACAATTGCCAAGCGATACATCATCCGTTATTGCATCAGGATCAGTCGCCCGTTCCCGGCGCGCTCAATAATCACCGACAGCCCGAAAACGAGGGCGAGGAAAGCTACTTCCGCATCATCCCCGTCACTCTACGAGGGAAATCGAAGCTGATCGAAATATACGCGTTTATGGACGACGGTTCGACGCTGACTCTGCTAGAGGAATCAGTGGCCAACGAGCTAGAGGAGGATGGCATTCCCAGTCCTCTCTGCATAAGCTGGACAGGCAGTGTACAACGACAGGAGCCCTCGTCTAGGCGACTCGATCTGCGAATCTCAGGAACTTCCCAAAATTCCAAGGTGTTCAATATAAGCAACGTACACACAGTGGCCAGTTTGGGCATGACAGCGGAGACCATGATAGCGGAAGATGTCAAAAGGAAGTATCGACATTTAAAAGGGATTCCGATTAAAAGTTATAAACAAGTGGTACCCAAAATGATCATTGGAGTCAATAATCCGAATTTAATATCTTCATTAAAGGTACGTGAAGGTAAATGGAACCAACCGGTAGCAGCAAAGACCAGACTAGGATGGACAGTCTATGGAGGTTCGCGACAACGTGGAAATCGTTTTAATTTCCATAAATGCGAGTGCGACAGCGATCTACATGAGATGGTTAAGGCGTACATAACCGCCGAGGATAAAGTTTCTACGCAGCGGAAAAGCACGCCAGAGGAAAGCAGAGCTTCCGAAATTCTCATGGAGAGGACAACATATGACGGAAACAAATACACTGCCGGGCTTCTATGGTTAGACGAACACCGTTCCTTTCCAGATAGTTTTCCAATGGCAGAGAGACGGCTAAAATGCCTGCAGCGAAAAATGCATAACGATCCTGAGCTTGCTGTTGAGCTGAACCAGCAAATACAAAATCTGGTCGACAAGGGATACGCAAAAAAGCTATCGAGTGAAGAAACCAAAAAGGATGCTGCCGGCGCATGGTATTTGCCAATATTTACTGTGCGAAACCCCCACAAGCCAAACCGGGTACGATTGGTTTGGGACGCAGCAGCAAAGGCCTCGAAATATTGCTTAAACGACTATCTGTTGAAAGGCCCTGACCTTTTGGTCCCACTTTTGAGGATAATGTACAACTTCCGAATGAGAGCCGTCGCAATCAGCGGAGACATAGCGGAGATGTTCCACCGCATAGCTGTAAGACAGGAGGATGCTTGCGCCCAACGTTTCCTTTGGTGCAATCAGTCAGGCACTGCCGATGTTTACCAACTCAACGTGCTAACATTTGGTGCAGCCTGCTCGCCCTGCATAGCACATTATGTGCGTGACAAGAACGCCCTAAAGCACGCAGAGGAATTCGAGGCGGCGGCACGAGCCATCACCAAATTTCACTATGTCGATGACTATATTGATTCGTGCGACACTCCACAACAAGCTATCACATTAGCAAGAGAAGTTAAGGAGGTACATTCCAGAGGTGGCTTTCACATGCATAAGTGGTGCTCGAACCACAAAGAAGTGGTTGCCGATCTAAACGGGTCTACAAAACAGGAAGAGAAGGAGTTCTACAATAACGAAGAAATCCATTCCTTCGAAAAAATTTTAGGCATGCAATGGAGCCCAAGTCAAGACGCATTCACGTATGCTCTCCGCTTCGTTCGTTTAAACCGAAATATTATCAAGGAGAACATAGTGCCTACCAAGAGAGAAGTCCTACAAGTCCTGATGTCTGTCTTCGATCCCATGGGATTTGTATCGTGCATTATGATGTATCTCAAGATCCTGCTGCAAAATATTTGGCGCACGAAAATGGGCTGGGACGACGAACTACCGCCGGAGCTGTACGTCCAGTGGAACTTATGGCTATCATATCTGCCTTTGATTTCACAGGTCGCCATACCAAGACGCTACTTTGAAAACGGAACCCCTGAGGATTGCAGCACCCAGCTGCATATATTTGTTGATGCAGGGGAAGAAGCATATGCAGCCGTAGCGTACTTCCGTATCCAATTCCAAGGAATAATAACTGTTCGTCTCGTTTCAGCCAAATCCAAAGTAGCCCCAGTACGGCCACTCTCTATACCAAGAATGGAGCTACAATCGGCACTGACAGGTGCACGTTTATTTCGAGATATAAAGGCCCAGCATGACATCAAGTTCACGGAGACACATTTGTGGACTGATTCGAAAACCGTTCTGGCCTGGTTAAATGGCGATCCCCGCAAGTACCAGCAGTTCGTGATGTTTCGTCTCGCAGAAATTTCGGAGCTCTCGGACGTTAACCACTGGAGATGGGTTCCTAGCAAGCACAACGTAGCGGACGTCGCTACAAAACGCCAAAGTGGACCCGAAGCGTATGATCGATGGTTTGCAGGACCGGAATTTCTGAGGCTACCAGCGGAAACTTGGCCCATCACAGAATCAAGTCATTCAACAACAGAAGAACTGCGACCGCGATTGCTACATATACGACAGGCCACAATAAGACCAAACTACGAGGCCTTTTCAAAATGGATTACGCTGTCGAGAGCCGTTGCCTATTGGTTCCTATATAAGGAACAGCTGACCAGCCAAAGCCGCAAGCAGTCAAAGCCCACTCGCATTTCGGTATTTCATATAAGGAATGCTCAAGCATACATATTTCGCTGCGTACAAATAGAAGGCTTCCCCGATGAATTCGCGAGAGTCTTAAAATCCACTCCGGTGGCTCGCAGCAGTGTGCTCTGGAGGCTGCAACTATGTATGAACGAGGACAACATAATGCAAGTACGGAATCGGGTAGGAAAATTCAAGAGTACTTCAGACGACCTCGTGATATTGCCAACCAGTCACTGGGTTACCAAACTCATCGTTCGACATTATCACGAGAAATCCTACCACATCAACCATGAGACTGCGCTTAACGAGGTGAGGCAAAGGTTTTATATTCCGAAACTAAGACCTTTATTTAAACAAGTTCGCCGAGATTGCCAACAGTGTAAATTGGACAGAGCCAAACCTCAACCACCTATTATGGCTCCGCTCCCTCCAGCCCGTTTAGGAGGATTTCAACGACCCTTTACGTTCGTGGGCATAGACTACTTTGGTCCACTCACGGTCATTGACGGAAGAAAGTCCCTGAAACGCTGGGGCATGATCTCCACGTGCCTTACTATGAGGGCAATACATATAGAAATCGTAAACAGCCTGAGCACAGACTCCTGCCTTATGGGGCTACGTAACTTTATCGCACGGCGAGGCCTCCCACACGAAATCTACAGCGATAATGGAACTAACTTCCGGGGAGCGGACTCATTCCTCCAGGAAGTCCAGTTCATAGACGAATCCAAAATGCACCACCACCTAGCCCAGCTAGGAATTGAATGGAAATTCAACCCGCCAGCAGCGCCACACATGGGCGGCGCCTGGGAGCGCATGGTCCGCTCAATAAAAACAGTTCTCTACAAAATCTCTCCTCACCAAAAGTTCTCGGACGAGAGCCTAAGGACAGCGATGCTGGAGATAGAGTTGACGGTTAATTCCCGACCGCTTACATTTGTTTCCCTCGACCATGACGACCAGGAGGCTCTAACCCCAAATCACTTTCTGCTGGGATCCTCGAACGGGACTAAGCCATTTTGCGATCCAGAAAGAATTAACTACCGATGGTGCCTGCGACAAAGCGAACAGTTCGCTAACCAATTCTGGACTCGGTGGGTCACGGAAATCCTTCCGACGATCACCAGGAGAAGCAAGTGGCACGAGAAGGTGAAACCTATCGACGTCGGAGACCTCGTTATAATTGTCGACGAGACTCAGCGCAGAAATACCTGGTTAAAAGGCAGAGTAATCGAAGTAACCCGAGCATCTGATGGACAAGTTCGCCGTGCCAAGGTTCAAACTAGAGATGGCTTTCTGGTGCGTCCTGCAGTCAAGTTGGCGGTACTCGATGTCGGCCCGATTGAGAGTAAGCTACAGGAGTCTTCGCTTACTGGGGGGGGGGAATGTTGCCGAAATCGACGACGGCTGAAGCACCCCAGTGAGAACATGTTCGCGGAGTTGCCAACTCTATTCATTTTTATCCTATTCCCCTTTGCTCACGGCTCGTCCAGCTGTTAATCGCTGAGTAGCTCTTACTCACCACGCTTGCAGAGCTTACATACATACACACAAGTGGGGTGAGATTGCCGATTCTATTTTGTGGTTCAGTTGTGAATAGAAAAGCGAAGGGCTAGGGTAAGAAAATCTACGTAAATTTAAGATCACATGTAAAACCTTGCATTTGCAGAAATTTTAAGCGTCACAGCGTCACCACGAAGAGGGACAGCTGAAATAAATACTAGACTTGCATCGGAGTTTAATTTATTGTACGGCGCTGTAAAAACCAGCTTATTTTCGCAACAGCATCGGCACATTTTTTTAAGATACAGCTCGATTCAAGATCAGGGCCAGAAGAGAAAGACGTCTTGATTGTGTGCAAATTTTGTAAAGCATCGTCCTCACTAATTAGTGGAGTGAAAAAGCAGTTGGAATGAGGAAGAGAGTATGGGTAGGAAGAGGTGTTATCGTAACTAAAAGAAGAGTACGTGGACTGGAAGAATTGTGCGAATAAGTTCGCAATATCGGAGTCGCTAGAGGCGGATATTGTATCAAGATGAAGGCATGATGGAAAAAGTGGCGATTTTCGTTTCGAATTAACAAATGCGAAGAACTGCTTGGGATTGTCTTGGAATTCGATTCTGCAACGGTTTAGGTAACTGTTGTAACAATCGGAATTGTGGACTAAAAAATTGGAACGAGCAATTAGATACCTAGAATGGTCAACTTGCAGCCCAGTTCTTTTATATTTCTTAAAAAGTCTAGACATGGTGTTTTTAAGGAAAGAGAGTCGACGAGAGAACCACGGAGGCTTATGAGATGCGTTTCCAGTGGGAAATGAAGGAACGAACTTATCGAATCCATAAAAGACCAATCGAGTTGCGATAAATGCCTATTCATTTCAGCAAATTTAGCTCTTCGAAAACAGTGAAAAGTTGCTGGTTCGATTTCGGGACATGACAGTAAAGGAGCTGATGCTTCTAAAGTAACCTCAAGTGTGGGATGATACGCATCTTCAGGATTGGAGAGAGGGCTAATTCGAGTTACATATGCATTTGCAAACTCCGAGGCAAAAATAAGGTCTAAAACTTTGCTAGAGCAGTTAATGACTGAGTTCAGTTGACCTAATGAAAGATCAATAAGACCGTGTACAAACTCATGCGCTGTGGTAGGAACAAGAGCACTTGAAACAGTTGAGGGCATCCAAGAAAGGGCGGGAAGATTAAATTCACCCATAACAATAAGATGATCGTTATCGCCAAGTAGTATGAATACTCTGTATTTGATCCAAGTGTTGGAGGTAGAGGCTAATATCAGACCGGGGAGGAATGTATGAGCATGATACGAAAACAAAATAATCATGAAGCTTAATCCGAACAGCGACAAACTCTAATGTACTATCCGTACCAATTATCGGAATACGTTGAGAGACAAGATTGGACTTGACGGCAATGAGAACGCCACCGCCAAGACGCACTGAGCGGTCACATCTATAGATAACATAATTACCAGCAAAGATTTCGCAGTCTGATTTATTTATACTGATTTATTTATGCATTTATACTTCTCGGAAATCTTCAAAGATGTGGGCGCAGGACCCATTTTAAAATCGTTAGTGGGCGATTGTGGGCGTTAGAGGGGGCGTGGCGCTCGGCTAAAATAAACTTGCGCTGCGTAGGAAGCCAAACAATATGTGTGGGAAATCTCAACCTTCTAGCTTTTGTAGTTTCTGAGATCTCAGCGTTCATACAGACGGACAGACGGACAGACGGACAGACGGACATGGCTAGATCGACTCGGCTAGTGACCCTGATCAAGAATATATATACTTTATGGGGTCGGAAACGCTTCCTTCTAGCTGTTACATACTTTGGCACGAATCTAGTATACCCTTTTACTCTACGAGTAACGGGTATAACTAACAAGTTTGTTTGTGTTCCGTGGTGTACAACTTATAAATGGCACAAAGTTGCAAAAAGGTAAAAACGAAAAGTTATTACCAAATGTATCCTTAATATCGCAAAACTAATCATTTTTGCAACTTTTTGCACGTTCCTTAAAAAAAATGACTTAAATCCAGCAACTTATAAACATAAAAAAAAAATATTTTTAAATAAAAAAACAATCTAAGTGGCTTTCATTAATCTTCAAAATTGAATTCATGGAAAGGGACAAGTCAAGTGAAAATCCTGGCTGCAAAGGACTCAAATATAAAGAAGCTGGACCCCCGTTAAAGCTAAAATTGGCATCTGATCTTAGATAATATTTCACTTTTCTTGTACATGTCACAAATTTTTTTTTTGACAAATTTTAAAAATTAACGTAAACCGAAATTATTTTACCGTCTTACCAATACAAATACAAATTTTTTAAAATCCCTGTCAATTAATTTGAATATGCGGCGTGGGCGGTGGATGAAAACAATGGTCCGATTCAAAAAGCAACAAAAACCGAAATTACAGCTTTATCTTAATAGTATATATACAAAATTTCTAAATTGTATCTCTAAAACTAGAGTTTATGCCAAAAAAATAGACTTTTTTCCCATAGTGCATTGTCCAGTTATTTAATGTCTTGTTTATGTCTATAACTTCACACGAAAACAAACAAAAGTGTTTGAGTTCAGTTAAGCTTTAGGCTTAGTAATCAACCCAACAAAAAGTCGTCCAAAACAAAAAACTTCATATGAAAAACAACGTCAAAAAATTTTGTTTTATATTAAGTTTTTGGTTTGGACGACTTTTTGTTGGGTTCATATGAAAAACAACGTCAAAAAATTTTGTTTTATATGAAGTTTTTGTTTTGGACGACTTTTTGTTGGGTTGAGTACTAGCCCTTATTTAAAAATCTACGCTGATCGACGCAAGATTGTTATAAAAATGTATTAACAATGAGTCAAAGTGGGCCACCCCTGTTCAAGGTCAGATTTTCATCGAGCTTTTTTTTCCGGTTCACAACGACAATATAAGAATTTCATTTGAACGGTTTTGCGAAATTTTGAGTTTTACCGGAGTTATAGGGGTCAAAATATGGCATTTTTGACACTTTTTCGAAAAAGTTGCACTCAGTCATTAATTCATAATTTCGGTAAGAGATATCTTTATGATGTTTTTACTAATCGCTCAAGAATTATTATGGCTTTCCATTAAAAAATGTAAAAAAAAATTATTATTTATATTTCTTAAAAAGTTTTTTTTCAGTGTTCTTTACCAGCTATAAAGTTTAAAACTATTTGAAAATAAAGTTTTATTCATTACGAAAAAGATAAAAAAACAAGAAAGGAAGCTACCTTCGGCCAGCCGAAGCTTATATACCCTTGCAGATAAAAGAATGCTCACTCGGTGCAGTTCCAGGGATTCCAGATTCAGCGTTTCTATTTATTTAAATTTTGTTTTTAGGTAGTCAAGAATCAAAAAGCCTACTTCCTACAAAGTTACAATGAATTTTCTTATATTTGTTTGAATATTCCTATGGGAGCCTTAAGATATAGTGGTCCGATCCGGCTCGCTCCGACATATGTACTACCTGCAATAGAAAGAAGACTTTCGGGAAAAGCTTTCGCGATAGCTTTAAAACTGAGAGACTAGCTCGCATAGAAACGGACAGACGGACAGACAGACAGACGGACAGACGGACATGGCTAAATAGACTCGGCTATTGGTGCTGATCAAGAATATATATACTTTATGTGGTCGGAAACGTCTCCTTCACTGCGTTGCAAACATCTGACTGAAATTATAATACCCTCTACAAGGGTATAAAAGGAATGGCCAGGCCAAAGGTTTTTCGCAATACTTATTTTTCGGTGGGCGCACAGTGGTTTCCCATACAAAACGACAAAAACTCCCTCATTGACAGCTGTAGTCGGCTGACGATACGCTTGCTACGGCATGTGGTGACCAGCCAATTTTCACGAGCAAGCCAGTTTTTTAGGTAGCTAGGAGAGAAAGGACCTCGACCAATCCGACGAGCTGGACCCGAGCACCGCTAGAATGCGTACCGTCGATCCCAGTTCCCTTTTAATAGTGAGTCAGAACCAACATCATGTGGCCAATGAGATAAAAAGAGTCTTATAGATTTTGGCATCGCTTCTTGTCCTAAACTGAACACTATACAATCTGGCGCCCAACGTGGGGCGAAAAGGATATTTTCCGTCCCAATTTTGTTCTAAAAAAATCCATCCTTTGTTATAGAAATTTCAACTTTTAAGGCCACTTTTTATAAAGTATTTCAATGACTGATTTGGATGCATCTGAACTCCAGCGGTGGAATTATCGATTGCATTTCGGTTCCGGATAGATCGACCCCGTTTGATTCAGGCTGACCAAAGTGATTAAGATATCTTTAAAAGAAAGCTGACTCTAAATGAGTCGGAAATAGAATGTTCTGGAGAGTTTCGGACATTGTCCATCAATTTGAGTAGTTCTCAAACTTCATTAGCTGAAACAGAAGAAGAGGTAGAAGAGAATACTTTATCGGGTACACGGCACTTTATGAGAGAATGAGTTAGGGAAAGACTGACAGAGAGATATAAACAAATTTAATTTTTTTGGAGATTTTGTGGTTTTGTTTGCGTTGAAAGAAGAAAAAGAAAATGGCAGTATCACATAGTATTGAAAACATCGATGCTGTCATGCAGCGGGTAGATCCCTTTTGCTCAATTTGTAATGAAGTAATATTAAGTACGGAACTAACGGCAAGCACTCCATGTAAACACAGATTGCATGATAAATGCATTGTTGAAGCAATCCGAGGCACACCGGCGTGTCCAACCTGTGCTGCGTGTTGTCTTCTTTCACAATTAAACTATAATAATAATAATTTGGCGGCGGAAATGGGTAATGTTCCTGGTAGGGAGGAAGCGAGAAATGAAGAAGCGGTAGTAGAAGTTCAGGCAAGAAATGATCAAAGAGGTGCTAGATTCCAAACTAAAAGTCGATCTAGAGGTGGGCCTTCTAGTTTAAGGACAGGCATGCCTACTAGATCCAAAACACGCCACTTAGAAGACTTTCAAGCTGACGAGGATAATCTATTTTGTAAAAAAACCCAAGGCGAATTAATAAAATATCTACAAGAAACTTTAAGTGTACAACAGGCTAATATAATGGAAGATATGGTTGAGATCTTAACCGCTAACATAGAGGAAACAATTCATAAACAACTAGCAGCAATGAATTAAGCCGGGAAAATCCATCATTGGAAAACCGCGATACTCGAAACAGGTTACCCGAGATGCCAGAGCTCTTCTCAGG